TACTGTAGAGACGAGGTCTCGCCATGTTGCACAGGCTGGTCTTGAACCCCTGGGCTCAGACAGTCCTCTTGCCTCCGCCTCCCAGAGTGCCGGGATTACAAATGTGAGCGACCACGCCCAGTTTATTATAGGCTTTTTAGTGCATTGTTTCTTTAACAGTTATTGTCTAACAGGCAACCAACAGATGTCACTCTACATTTTATGTTAATGTCATCACACTTGGTAAAACCATGGGTTTTTTTACTTCTGTTTTGAAAAGACTAGAAAGCAAACAAATTCTCTGCCCTACTCTATTTTAAATTTGTATCCTAGGTACTTAAAGCCGAACAGTCTAAACATGAGAGGCAACAAAGACTATCATTCATATAACAAATGGTTGCCAAACACCTATAATTCTTTCATTGAGCACGTGTATAGCAGCATACTATTTGACCAGCAGTTTGCTGTATATAAAACACTGTATAGAACAGAACAGATCTTCTGCCCTTGCAGGCGATTAAAGATGAATGGAGGAGAAAAATATAATGGAAACAATATCAAGAAATTTAACATTTAAAGCAAAAAAATTTCTTTTAGCATCAGGAGTCCCAGAGAACTCAACCCCGTTCTAAATTTCCAAGCGTGTCCTAGCATTGTTTGTGTTATATAAATATTGAGTATTTCCTATATTCAGGGGCATTTACAAATACACTGTATACTTCTAATCTTTACAACCATCCTTTGAGGCAGCTATGATGATGAAGTTCCTTGTACTCAGGAAAGTTAAATAATTTGCCCACGGGTCACACAGATAGCTTGGGAAGTTTCACAAAGGAATTGACAGGCGCCTAATCTCTCCAACAGGAGATGGATAGACAGCAAAGAGACAAGGGCAACATTCTAAGTAGCGGGAACGGGAACGCTGTGTGCAACTGACATGTGCCCACCTCCAAACTTCTCTGTACTTTCATTTAAATCTTACACACTTTCTCTAAGTTTGGCATTAAGTTTTCTCTTAATAACTCCAGTCATAAGTGATTTTACCTTGTTGCACGTTATGATGCTCCTGCCCCAAATCTTGGTAAAATCCTGCTTTTCCTTCAAGACCTTGTTCAAATATGACCACCATCTTTGACTCTTGCAGACTTGGTGGACTCTCTTATTGTCTGGCAGCAATATTAGTAGCTCTCAGAAAGTTTTCCGTGTATTTTCTTATAATTATCTCTCAACAGGTCTAACTCTCCTCAAAAGACTGATTTCTCAAAGCCAAGAATTTTGGAAAACAGTATTATATAGTGATTATATCTATTGGTTTTGAATTAAATGACTGATTCAAATTCCAGCTCTACCACAATTCCTTCCCATTATAATTCCTTCCAATTCTAATTATTTGACCATGGGTAAGTTATTTAAACTTTCTAAGTCTTAATTTACCCATTGGAAAAAAAATAGGGAAAATAGTATCTACTCATGAGATTATTATGAAGCTTAAATACAGTCATCCATGGAAAGTGGTTAGCATAGGACCTGGCACATAATAAGGCCTATTAAAGGTGAACCATTCTTACTTACCATTGTCTCCTAATACCTAACATGATGACCGGTTCAGAGTAGCTAACTGGTTTCACATTTATCTTATTTTTATAACCAGACTTAAGCCACTTTAAGGCAACAATTTCTTGTTTGATGCACTGTGCCTACCACATTCCCAGGCATACTGTGGGTCTGATGAATGTTTTTTTAATTGATTCTATTTCATTTACCCTTGTCGACATTCTCCTGGATCTTCATAAGATTCTAAATTCAAAGTAATGCCAAATATGTATGTGAAGCCCTTTTCCTTCCCTCGTTTTCCTTTTTTATCCCTATTCCTGTTTTATTTTTACCATGTCATACTGTGAGTATAATAGACCAAATTCAAGACATTATTGTTACTTGATAGAATTTTTAAAATCAGAAGAAATTACCTTAAGAAATTCATTCTTTAAGTTTTCCACTACAAGGACAGAATGAATGTCAGCAGCTTCCAATGCCACTAATGAAGAATAAAGAAAGTCTCTTTAGACTGAAAAGAAAGCTATGTATAGTTCAATTACCCGGTAGAGTTAATGGGGATTGCAGGAAGGGAGTGGTTTTATTTTATTATGTTCTTTCCTGAGGCAAGAGGCAAAAAAGGAACAACAGGCCAATTCCAGATGCAGAGTTCAATTATAATGAACTTTAAATATGGCATAGCTCTACATCTCAAGGATTTTTTCCTCCTTAGATATTCTTTAGAGCAGACAAAATAGAGTTTACAATTTATCATAAAATATATATAATTAAAAGAAACTCTTCAATATATTATGTGTATGGAGGGCATTTCTAATTTTTCCCCTGGAGTTAAATGTCATTATATAAACACAATCAAAAGTTTCCTTTCAAAATAATGTGTAGAGAAAGTATTCAATTATCTCAACTTAATTTTTCCAATCTTGCTAATCTTCTTCCAACACTTTTTAAAAACAAAGGAGAAATTGTATTCTTTTCCCAACAGACATTTGTCCTTTGGGACAATATCTTGTTACTTTATTCTACATTAATACAATTCATTTTAAACTATGAATGACAGGCGCAGTGGCACCCTGTAGTCCTAGCTAGTCAGAAGGCTGAAGTGGCAAGATCTGTTGAGCCCAGCAGTTCAAGACTAGCCTGGACAACATAGCAAGACTCCATATTCTAAACTGTTAAATGGACTAGTCTATATGTTTAGAGATGAAACAAATCCTTGAGATTCCCTTGCTTACTTTTCCCCCAGTTTTCCCTCATCTTCTTTATTTAGCATTATTTTCAATAATATCTATATCTTAAAACGTTTAGGCAACATAATAGTTATGAATAATTTAATCTTAGTTAAAAGCTCTAGGATGCAAAATGACACAGATTTTTATAAAACTGTTACTAGGTCTCCTGCACAATGAATTAAGCAACTGATGTTCACTGTAAGTAAAAAGTTGTGAGATGCCCTGTCATTACATTTTTTAAAAGGTGTTCAATTAGACTTTAATTTTAGCTATGTCAGTTTTGGAAAATATCAAGACAGGTTGTATCAAGAAAATAGTTAACACATCAAGCAGTTAACCTATCAAACAATTAACATATCAAGAAAACAGGTAACATGTTCTGTTTACAGGGAATATTATAATTTTACGCACTGTTTTGAGCCAATGTTAAGAATTTTGTAACATAGAAAATAAATACAACATCTTGAAAAAATGTCTACAGTATTTTTATTATATTTAAAAAGTTCTGAATCATGGAAACTAAATTTGATTAGCAAGCCTGCTGTTTTTCTCAGCTGTGTTAATATTAGAATGGAGTTCTTTATATTTCAAGACCAGAAGTAGAAAATATCAAATGTCAAGGCTGTCTAAAATAAGGGATGCACAACTAGAACTAGTAATGGTAAACCTCACACCTAGTTTTTGTAGTAATCTCAAATTCTATTTGTAGCAGGCACTTGTCCTTTAGTTTATTCCAAAACTTTCATGTATAAGATTCTTTACCGGGCTCGGTGGCTCAGCCTGTAATCCCGCACTTTGGTAGGCTGAGGTGAGTGGATTGCCTGAGCCCGCGTGTTCGAGACCCTCCTGGGCAGCGAGACCTCATCTCTACAATAAATCAAAAAATCAGCAGGGCGTGGTCGCGCGGGCCTGTAATTCCGGCTACTCAGAAGGCTGAGAAGGAAGGATAGCCGGAGCCCAGCAGGTCGAGGCTGCGGTGGCCGGGAGCGGCCACTGCACTCCAGCCTGGGCGAAAGAGTGAGACTTCAACTCAAAAAAAAAAACAAAAAAACAACTCTTTAAATCTGTTAGCATTTCAATTATTCACTTTAGACCGACATGAGATTCACTGCTTTTTTAAAAACGACCATGATACAATCATTAAGGAATAATCCTGGTGACAACAGATCCCATCTATTTTGTGCTGACCAGCGAACTAACCTACCCCAAAATGGAATGAAAATAATATTATTTTTAAAATTACAGAACTGAGGCCAGGTGCAGTGGTTCACACCTATAATCCCAGCACTTTGGGAGATTGAGGTGAGAGGATTGCCTGAGCTCACGTGTTAGAGACCAGCCTGGGCAACTTAATGAGCCCTCATCCTACAATAAAAAAAAATCAAAAAATTAGTTGAGCGTGGTGGCGCATGCCTGTAGTTCCAGCTACTTGGAAGGCTGAGGCAGAAGGATCGCCTGAGCCCAGCAGGTCGAGGTTGCGGTGGCCGTGAGTGTGCTGCTGCACTCCAGCCTGGGCGATAGAGTAAGACTCCAACTCAAAAAATTAAATTAAATTAAATTAAAATTACGGGGCTAGAATAATTATGTTACAGTTCTCCATGTAAACTTTTTTTTTATTGTCGAGGATATTCTGCTTCAGGTCTTATATTGCTTCCAAACTCCTGCATATAACATTTAAATGAGGGGGGAAACCCCTAAAACGACACAATAGAGAAATCTAGGGTAAGCAAATAATTTAAAGGTTGAACCCACGATATATCTCATCAGTATGCCCCCATGTTACTAAATATTTAAGAGTAAGGACAGAGAGATCCTAGGCCACAGAGGCGAAGAAAAGGAAGGAACTAGACACTCGGAGAATGAACAAAAAAGACGTGAAAAAAGGCAACTGAGAAAAGAGGAAAAGGGCGAAGATTTTAAGAAGGAAGAGAAGGCAAAGGAGGTGAAATTGGCTTAAGGGTGAACCCAGGGAAGAAGCAGGTGTACTGGGCAGTGCCGCCAGGCCAGTCCCGCCCCGCAGGCCAGCCCCCGTCCCGTCGACCCCGCCCCCGCCCTACCCCTCTCCGTCTGATCCCGCCCCGTCCTGCCCCTCCCGCCCAGTCTCCGTCCCCTTCCCGGCGACCTCGCTTCCTTTAGCCACGCCCACTTCCCCAGGCTCCACCTCCAGTCCCTCAGGCCCCGCCCCGTCAGGTCCCTCCCGGCCCTGCCGGGTCCCGCCTAGCCGCCGGCTGCCGCCGCGTCAGGTGACAGCCCGGAAGCTGCGGAAGCGGATGAGGGAAGGGCAGCCGCGGCCCTGGGGGTGGCGGGAGCTGCAGGAGCCGCTCTGCCTCCAGGGGCTCTCCGCGCGGCCCTCATGCGCCGTCCTCGCTGACATCTAAGTCCGCCGCTCTCCGCCCTCCGGGGACCGTGGGGTCGCCAGGCCCGCCGCCCTCGCGGTCGAAGTCGTCGTGCGGGCCTGCGGCGGCCACCCATGGAGAAGGCCGGGCGGGGCAGCGATGGCGCCCCCCGGGTTCCCGTTCTGCACATCGTGGTGGTCGGCTTTCACCATAAAAAGGGCTGCCAGGTGAGGAAGGGGCCCGAGCTGGCCCCTGGCCGCTCGGGCGTTCGTCGCGCCCGGCGCCCACTGCCCTCCCACTCGGCTCAGCTCGCGTAGTGCCTGGTCCTTCCTACAGCGCCCACGACCCTTCGCCGCTGAACTTGACTCTCCAGCTTGTTGCCCCTTGAAGCTCAGCCCCCACAGCCCCTTTCTTCTGCCCCCGAAAATTGCTTTACGAACGGTGGAAGAGCTAGGTGGTATGTGCACGTTGTCGGTTAAGTTCCCCTTTGGTGGAATGGGAGGAAGGTATCGAGGATCGGCCCCAGTCTCTTCCCCATCCATCACCGTCTCCACTGAGTTTCTGGTTATGATGAGAGCGCTTGGACTCTGTTTTCAAGGTAATGAGCTCAGTGGGTTTGCCACAAATGCCTCAGGTATGTTGAAGCACATGCAAGCGCCGGAAGAAAACCCAACTTCCTTTGTTTATCTGATGGAAGCCTTAGAATCTGTCGAGTTAGGCTTGTCCATTGACCCTGCCCTCCCCGCTTCCCATTGGGCCTCAGTTTTGCTATTTGATCTTGTCCAGATCTTGCCTTTTGGTGAGAAATTAATCTCTCCAGATCAATTGCAATAAAATAAAATGTATTTACCAAGCAAAATGTGCAAATAGAAAGACATTTTTCAGCAGCTTGACTGAATCTCTAACTCACCATGTGAGATGGAACATTTGCTATCTACGTATTGAGGGCAAGAGAATAAAATAGAAACGAGATTATTTAATGTGCAAGCAAACACTGGAAGGCAATGATGTCATAATGTGCTAGTGAACAGTACATTGATATGCTTTTTGGAAGTATTAAAATATTGATTTCCACCACTAGGTAATGAAGTATCTGGTTTCTTGAATTTCACAAAAAATGCAGAATTTCACAGAACATTGTAGAGGACTTATTGGCAAAAATTAAGTTCCCTAGGGGATGATAACAGAAAAGCGATGAAGGGAGTGAAAAGATGTTTGTGTTTGTATGTGTTTTAAAGACTGCTTAACTTAAAATATCATATGCCTCTTCTCTCAGAAATGGTATATGCTAAACACCAAAGAGAAAATAACATTATTTCAGTATGGTACTAAAAGAATTCCAGCAAGCAGTAGAATGTAAGTTTTTAAAACATAGCCCCATAAAGAGAATAGGTGTTTGAGACTGTGCCATGTCATGCAAATGTAGATTCATCATCATTCGATTTTTATTACTTTAAAAGTCACATGGTTGGCCATACTGGTCACTTTATAACTTTCTTTGGGTATGGGTGAGGTAATTGAATCTTGGAAGTGGTAAAACAATCTAGTTGAGGTGATACTGCAACACAGTCCTGGAGTCACACCTAGAATTGCTTCTGGCGCCATATGTGTTCATTTTGCTGTGGCATTTTCGGAGTCTTTCCAGGTAAACTAAGAGATGAAAGCCCACTTTAGAACCAAAATGAATCGAGCTTTGAAGAAGGAAGAAGAAAGTATTTTGGTAGGAGACAGAATAAAGTTTCCTAATGCTGTATCTGAAGTCGATTGTTTTCTACTCACTTTATTGGTGAAAATAATATTATCTATATTTCTAAAAAGGAAAAATTATGAGACAAAATGCAATGCTGCTTAGAGATGAAAGAAAACTGAACAACAGGTTGTAAGATGAAAGAGGCACTTTGTACTGAAGAAGCACCCAGGGTGCTGTGGTTTCTCTAGATTTGTGTGGCTTTTGTTTCTACCCTGTGGTAAAGGTGACTGGTTTTGTAAAATGAACACTGTGCTGGGTATCAGGAGACCTTGATGACATCTTGGCACACAGCTCCCATGACATCCAGCAATTCCAGATTGCTAAATTTTTCCTTACCTCAGTTTCCTCTGCCAGATTCTTCATAAGAATTTAAATGTGTCAAGGATCCTTAGAGATTATCCATTCCAACTCCCTCCGATTTCCAGAGGAGTAAACTGAAGGCTTGGAGGTTAAGTGACGTGGGCTTACTTGCATAGCCAGTTGAGTGCTAACATTGAAACTCAGACGTTCTTAGTTGTCATTACTCTCTCATACATAATGTTTCTCATTTTAACCATTGGGAATTGTACAATTTAGTGCCATTAGGTACATTAAAAATGTAGTATTACATTATCACTGTTTATACACAAAACTTTTTCATCATTCCCAGTGAAAACTCTATACCCATTAAACAATATACATCTTCTTTTTCTAGCACTTTTAGGTTGTAAGCTCTTAGTAGAAAAAATGCATGCCTTGGCGGGAAATGGTGGCTTGAGCCTATAATCCTAGCTACTTGGGAGGCTAAGGCTGTAGAATCACTTGAGCCCAAGGAGTGCCAGGCTGCAGTGAGCTATGATCGCACAACTACATTCCAGCCCGGCTGACAGAGCGAAACCCCATCACTAAAGAAAAGAAAAAATACATGCCTTGTTTGCTGTTGTTTTTTGTAATCGGAATGGTGCCTCACAGAGACAATGGCATTTTTTTTTCTTTTTCTTTTTTTTTTTTTTGGAGTCATAGTCTCACTCTGTCGCCCAGGCTGGAGTGCAGTGGCACGCTCACGGCCACCACAGCTTTGACCTGCTGGACTCAGGCGATCCTTCTACCTCAGGCTTCCAAGTAGCTTGAACTACAGGCATGCACCATCACACCCAGCTAATTTTTCTTGATTTATTGTAGAGATGAAGTCTCACCAAGTTGCCCAGGCTGGTCTTGAACCCCTGGACTCAGGCAGTCCTCTCACCTCAGCCTCCCAAAGTGCTGGGATTATAGGCGTGAGCCACCGTGCCTGGCTGGCATTTTTTTGAAAAATAAATATACTTGTTGAATGTGGGTTACTGATAGAATGGAAGAAAATGCAAAGGGTTCTGAAACAGTGTAATTAATAAAAGATGAGAAACTCAGTATGGGTTGTGTTTTCTCAGGTACTCAAAATGACTTGTTTTATTATTACAGCTTTTAAAAATTACACTTACCTCTTGCAATGTAGCAGAAAATGCAGCACTAAGAACCTGGTTTTGCAAATCAAACTTAGAATGTACTATAGCTAGTCAAAGGCAAAATGCACAGTGAATATTAAAAGAAGTGATTTTAGATTGCTCTATTGAATATTCTGTAGCTTTTGCAAGAGTCAAACATATAATTTCAATGGAACTATTACTATTTCTCAGAAAAAAATGTTGGCTCATTATTAATTATCTGTCAGTTTTCTATTGTTCCTTTAGTGGAGGTTGGTTAAATAGATGACACTATGATTTCTGGAATCTAAAGAGAGTTACAGCTGGGTGAGTGGATCACCTGAAAACTTTCATTGGAAACCCTCTGTGGTACTAGCCATGTTCTCTTGAGGGGATGCTAACATAGCCAGTCCACTCAGAAAACAGCAAGTAAATGAGTCACTTACATTGGATTAGTTGATTAAATTGAGAGGTCAATTCAGTAAAAAATAATAAAACTTACTGGAGACATAATTTGTATAAGTTCATGGTAGCTCATCTAGCAGGATGTTCAGTGATGAATGCATGATAGTATTGGAAACAATGGAAAAATAATTTATTCAAATACATCTTTTTCATTTTTGACTGCCCTACTTTTTCCCTAGTTAGTCTTAGTTTTTATAAAATATTAACAACACTGCCTTTTGCCAGGTAGAAAGAATTATAAAAGCAAATATACTCAAATTTCCTATATGTTATATTAGTTCTTAAAGGATGTTCCTCTGCAAATCTGTGTTGTCTTAGATGCCCTACAACTCTGCTCTCTTTTAACTTAATTTTTCTTTTATTGCTGGCAAACTGTGATCTCTGCTTTCTTAACCTTTCAAAATCTAGATACATTTAATTTTTGGAAAGTATGTGTATTAAATGCTTAAGTCTTAAAACAGAATGGCTGGTCTAGAGACTTCTTTGAAGAATGGCTGGTGTTTTTAAAAGGCTTTAATTCTAAGTATATAAGAGTTGCTCCAGTATGGATTAATTAGCTACCCTCATTCTCCATTTTAAGATTTTGCTTCCGTGTATAAAGAATTAAATGTGTATGGCTTATTGAATTGTTACTCTGACATGGTTTTTAACTTGTGCGAGAGTACTTAGTTTGCTCTTTCAAGTATTCAGAATTGCTGTGAGTCATGTTGATCATCACTTCTTTCCATGGACTCAGATTACTCATAGGGAGATTTCCATACTTGGTTATAATTTGTAACTTTTAGATTCAAGTGAACTAAAGTACAACCTGTGTTTAAAAGTAACGCCTTTCAGCGTCTGCTTGGTTAAGAGTGATAACTTACCTATGGTTTCACATGGACCGCAAAGTGAAAACCATCTTCTAATACTGCTGTGTTGAAGACCCGAAAACTGAGCTTGTGAAACATGTTGGTTCATCTTATTTCCTGCACATTTTCCACCTTTGAAGTCTTCAAATGTCTTTTAAATTGAAAAGTCCTTCATTTATTAAAATGAACACCTTTTTTTTCACTTTTATTTTATTTTATTTTATTTTATTTTATTTTAAAATGAACATCTTTTTTTTCACTTTTATTTTGGTAACTGTGGGATTGAAATCTTCTGCAGATAACATGTTAGCTTCTAGAGGTTATTTTTCTCGTTTGTATGCTTAACATTTAGAACATTTTAAGTAAAGTACTACCATTGACATTTAAAATAGTTTTGAAATATTTACTCATTTCAATTCTTTGTTCCTGAATTCTTTTAAAATTTAGCATTTAACAAAGGACTCTTCTTCCTTTGAAACTCTGACATGAAATCGTTTATGGACACCTCTATGCTAAATTGACTTGTTGTGGATTGTGTATTTCAGAGTTTTGTTTGTTCCAATACATAAACTGTATTTGTCATATTAGCATAATTTTTTTGCTAAGTAATATAATCTAATGTATATCAGATGAACTCTTTGGTTCTTTCATAAATAGACTGGAGCATTTTAAAACACTCAACAGGAAATAGTTATCTTCCAAAGTGATGCTATTAAAAATTGGAA